CGCGTCTCCCCGCGCGCGGGTAGGAGGCGGAGCAAGCATGCCTTCTCCCACGCTCCAGGGCCCTCCGCCGCGCCGCTCGGGGGCGGTACCGCATTCACTGAATCGTCGTTCGCAGGAAACGATGGCCGACGCTGTCGATTCCTCAGCCAATCCCGGCACGTCTCGACCCATCCCTCTCTCTTACTGGATAAACTGAAGTGTAGCGAGGCGGATGTTGTCTTCTCTGGAGGGCCAAAACCGGCAAGATGGCGTCGGATGGCGGAGAGTTGGGGGGCTCGTTCGGCCACCACCTCCAAAGGGCTGTATGCGACACGCGGGCCAAGTATCGGGAGGGGCGACGGCCTCGTGCCGTCAAGGTAAGGTGATTTTAGTTTCATTCGCCATCCTCGGTAGTTTTATGTAAGCTCCAGGTTCACATGCCCAGCCTACGTAAATAAAGGGTTGAAAGGCTGCGATCATGTCCGTCACTCATGGGAGATGGGATAAAGAATTCTGATACTCGGGTACTAAAAATTCTCACGACCTGTTTGGTCAACTCCTAGACCATCAGCTCTGCGAAAACAGGGCTTAGTTTTAGTCATTGTATTTTCCGTGTTTACGGTAGTGCTTGGCGCATGGTAAGCACTCAGTGAACATTTGTTAACTCTTTCCGGGAACTTCTACCGAGCCAACTTCTAGAAAACATGTCAATTTGGGTAGTCTATTTTATTCTTTAGATAGAGGCCCTCACACGTAGGGCGAACTATTATGTATGCAGAGAGAGGGACAAGTTTTTTAATTTTGTTTCCTGCAGACCTATTGAACAGTGCTTTTTTTTTTTTCTTAAAACAGATTTGTTCCAGGTTTATGAAATATATTTAATGTGTCTGCATTTATTTTAGGTATATACAATTAATTTGGAATCTCGGTATTTATTAATACAAGGAGTTCCTGCAGTGGGAGCGATGAAGGAATTAGTTGAGCGATTTGCTTTATATGGTGCAATTGAGCAGTATAATGCTCTAGATGAATACCCAGCAGAAGACTTTACAGAAGTTTATCTTATTAAATTTCTGAATATACAAAGTTCAAGGTAATATGCAAATTAAGGAATGTCTTATCTCTTCCATTCCGATTGCTGTTATTTTGGCCCCAGGTTTCCTCTGTTCATACCAGAATTACCCAGTAACCCAATATAGTCCTGAATTACTCTTGTCTTCTCCAGTCTTTTTAAGTGTTAGCCTTACCAAAACACTGTTCCATCACGTAATTCCCATGCTTAATAGTTTTCTGTCATGTAGTGTGGTAGATTAAAAATTGGGTTTGGGGTAAGTTTTCAAGTACCACTGCTTACTAACATGATCTAGGACAAGTTTAACACCATTAAGCCTGTTTTTTCTATTCTGTAAAATCCGTATGATAAAAAGATCTACTTATTGAGGTTATGTGAAGATGAAATGAGATAATCCATTAAAGGGCTTAGCATAGTGCCTCCTGTTCAGAATGCAGTAAACATTAGCTGTTAAGGTTCTTATTGTTATGCACCAATGGGAACTGACTCCATCTAACAAACTGTTCCAGTAGGCTGAAATATGAAATGCCTTACCTATTTTTATGTTGACCCCTACTAATTTGCTGTAAGACCCTTCCTTTCCTGGCTATTATAATTCAAATTTTTGTCACAAATAGCACTTGTAGTCTGCCATAAAAACACTTGATTTTATGGGGTCATGTATTCTCAGGTTGCTCTTATATATAATCTCACTTCCCTAACCAACTTGCCAGCTCCTCATGGGTAGGGAAGCATATTTTCTAGAGTTCTTGCGTTTCCCACAGCACCTAGTACAGTAGGCCATGGAATTCAACATATGAATTTGAGTCCTAGCTCCACAAACCAATGTAAGCGTGACCAAGTTATAAATGTTCCTGGGCTTTATTTTCATCATAGGGTTGTTGTGAAGTGTTACTTCTACTGAAGCACTTAGGACACTGCCTGGTATGTGGTAAAATCTCTGTACATATTGTTATCCCTGGGCTCAGAAGAAATATTTATTGTAGTAATACCTGACCAGTCATAGATGTTTAATAAGTATTTATTGAATACCATCCACTCATTTTCTTATTACTTGTTATACAGTATTTCCTCAGTAATTATAAGTTTTACAATTACAATATTTTTATTAAGATTTAATATATGAATCTCACTATAGGAACGTATTGTGCTGAAAAAGCTAAATTGGGTATGAGCTAACTCTCAAGGGCCATTTAACACAGAGAAAATCTCTATTTCATGACCACAGATTGTGTACCTTAGGCTAACCAGGTGTATCCTAAGATTGTTAAGGGAGTCTGGATCACTTACCCCAAAACTTGTTAGCACAGTTGAAAAAGGGGAAGAAAGGCTCTAAGAGTACGCGCTAGATCATTGGGGTCAATACCATCCTACAAGCACAGCATCCTAATTCCCAAACCATAGGATATACATACACATAGCAAAAGCTGGACTTTAGTCTTTAGATCAATGCATTGTATGCTAGTCAAACTTTCATCCTAAGTAAATCTAAATTAATAGACTGTGCTATCATGTATTTCTGTTTAGGACAGCCAAGAGAAAAATGGATGAACAGAGTTTCTTTGGTGGATTGCTTCATGTGTGTTATGCTCCAGAATTTGAGACAGTTGAAGAAACTAGAAAAAAATTGCAAGAGAGGAAGGCTTATATAGCAAGAATTACTAAAAATAAAGGTATGGAAAGCCTCTTACTAAACACTTATGTGTCATTCATTCTGCTAGGTATATTGTCATGGAGCTCCCAGTCTAGTGGGAAGAGAGGCAAGTAAATGATCATAATATTCAGTAACTAAATTATAGGGTTCTGTGTAGCACTCTGCGTAATCTGGGCTGGGAAGGGATATGTTAGTTCATAGGAGACTTCCTACAGGATGAGAGAGGTGGCTGAGTTTTGAAGGATAAGTAGACATTACCCAGAAGGGGAGAGAAAGAGCTGGCAAGGTGGGCCATGTAGCATGTTGAAAGGCCTAGAGGAATAAATGAGCATTGTGCATTTTAAGGAACTGTGAATAGTACAGGATAATCACAATACAGGGGCTTCAGTAAGAGATAAGATTTAAAAAGACAGGAAGTGAATCGAAAGGGCCTTGTGTCTCATGCTAAGGAATTAAGGCTTTGACCCAAAAGCACTGAGAAACAATTAGGATTTGCAGACCAGTTACCCACTGTTAATCTAAAACTGCTAAAAGTGGAGAAGTTCCACTTTTGACCAGCAGCTGGCCAAGTGCCCCAAATGCCCAACTGAGTTTCCCTAGACACAAATTCCAAATGCCTGCAATGGAGTAATGGAATCTGGTACATGGATTGTAGGACTAGAGCAGTCAGAATCAGGTTAAGATAATCTGTGTAGTCTGAAATTTGGATAGTACTAGAGACTCAAATTATCAAATTTCCACTCTTTAGTTGAAAGACAAAGTCCGTGCCCATACAGTTGTTGAATATGATGAGTATATGGGTGATAGGGAAGGAGCATGTGCCAGCGGTGAAGAGAGAAATAAGGTGGGAAGACTCTTAGAAAATTTACCTGAAAATTTGGCAAGAGAGCTGTTGAGAGTCCTTGATCATTGTCAGACACTGAACTTTAAACTGTGGGATATGTAACTAGCTTCAGGCATACTTGTATGTGCGTGTGTGCCAAAGGAAATTACAATATATGGGCCCAGCATATTGCCTCCTTTAAAAATTAACACATACAAATTAAGCAGCATGTACATTCATAATAGAACACTGAAGCTGCAAAAAAAAAAAAAAAAGCAGCTTTCTATGTAATAACCTGGAAAAACTCTCCAAGATCTACAGTTAAGTGGAAAAACGCAAAAGTGCAGAGAAATGGTTATTATAGGAGAGAAGGAGGCAGGGGTAGGTGGAAGGAGGAAAAGTAATGCATACTGGACACACAAGCAAGAAAGTAAGAATAGTGATTACTATGGCGGGGTGAAACCAGGCATATGGAGAGCAAGGAGAGAATGAAGCTTGACACTAATATACCTTTTATCCTTTTTTGCTTTTAAACTGCATGAATATATTGTCTGCTCAAGAAATAAATTTTTCAGGATGCATTTATTAACATTTTAAAGTAATGTGTGTTATCAAATTACACATTTCTGAATGATGAAAACAAATCATTTCTGTTTCCCTTTCCCTCACCCTTTAAATTATAGTATATAAAGAGCCTTTCATGACAAAGAAGAAACTGGTTACAGAGCATAAAGACACAAGAGATTTTAGACAGGGCTTCCATTTGGAGAAATCTGGATTTTGTGCAGCTGCTTTGAATACTTCTGCTAAGAACTCAGATCCTTGTCTTCCTTATTCTTGTGAATTGCCTTTATGTTACTTCTCAAAATGTACGTGTTCGTCAAGAGAGCACGTGGATGGAGCATCAAGCTCCTCTCAGGTTGGTAGAATCCATGATGAAACAGTGGGGCGTTGCAACCACAGTGACTCTTTGCAGAAAATGCAGATGAAAACCTTAAAAAATCCAGTGGCCTTCTCTAGTGCACAGAAGGCTATTACTCCTTCAGAGGCAGTTGACAGATTTATGCCTAGGACAACACAACTGCAGGAGCGGAAAAGAAGAAGAGAAGATGATCGTAAACTTGGAACTTTTCTTGAAACAAGCACAAGCAGTAAAGAGGTTATGATTGGGCCTCTGCTACCAGACATACCTAAAGTTGATATGCATGATGACTCACTGAATACAACGGCAAATTTAATTCGGAATAAACTGAAAGAGGTAAGATCATTTTTAAAAAACTTGTAAGAGACAGTTTGGTTACAGGACTAATAAATGGAGAATTATTGGTGAAAACTATAGTATTGTCAATTTTTTTCATTTTTAGTTTTTTGATGTTTTCCTACAGGTTCTTTTGAATTAACGGAATTTTGCTAATAGAAATTTATTTGCTTTGATACCATTAATCATTGTCTTAAACAGTGAACAGAATATATTTTATATCACTCTAGATTTAAAATATAAAAGCAGTAGTTTCAGTCAGATCAATCTGTGAGAGCAGAGCCCAGGCCCTCCTTTTTTTAAAGCCCCCCAGATAGTTCCAATATGAGTCAAAGTAGAGAACCACTGTGTTAAAGGAAAATTATTACCATTTATTTCTCTTAAGATTAAAGTTATTACAAATTACATCAAATTCAAAATATTTATTTTCCTTCTTTGCTACAGATAGCCATAGAAGAAGGTAAGACTTTTAAAGATGAGGCCATAAGGTCTACATTTCAAATAACTTCTTAAATGGATTAGAACTAAATTGTGCTATTAGTAATTTTTTCATTATTTACATAATCATTTTCCACTTTCTAAGAGCACATAAAAGCAAGTTAACATTTACATTTGCTTTTGAAAGATACGTTATTGTGTGGCAAGACTTGAGAAATCAAACAGAGAGAAAAGTATTTAACTCCAAGGTTCGGAACATGATCTTCACAAATTGTACATGTGTTTCACAGTGTGATTAAGAGTGGCTTTATTTTATGTACATTTGTACATTTATGTACAAATTATTATCTGATTAAGGATAAGGGGTTGTTCTATAATAAAAATCCATGGACACAATTTCTATGCTTAAGCCTCTTTTAAATTTTTTAGTTTGTGATGGCACCCTTCCTTCTTCAAAACAACAGAACTGAGGCATAGATACAGATACATAGCTATCTCAGCCAGAGCTGACTGTATTTTCAAAAAAAAAAAAGTGTTGGGTCCAAATCCTAGGTATAGAAATAATAGAACAACAAAAAGAAATACTAAATACAATTTACTATGATTTCTAAAATTTTCTGTTTTTAGTAAAGACTGTCTGATTCTAACTTATTGTGTACTCTTTGTGATGATGTGTTTGATTAAATTTTCCCTAAGATATTGAGGATTATACCATTTTCTGATTATTTCTCCAAATTTTTCATTTTCTCCTCTCAAGCCTCGCTGTTTCTAAATGTATCAAACATTATCAGTGCCTGGGTATTTATCTGTATACATAAAATAACAAGCGACTTAAGATCTGTAAAGGAATGTTAAAGTAGAGCATATGTTTACTTCTCTCACCTCAGTTTTTTTCTTGTTAAATGGCTTTAGAAATTTTACTCCCATCAATGCTTAGACAGAAAACTTTGCTGTGTACCTAGGTCGTAGGCTGTACCTTGAACTTGGGCTAACTGCTTCAAACGTGACAGCAAGGCTTAAACTATTGAATATATATATCCTATCTCTTCTAATAGTTTATTTACTCTTATACTATAAAAATTAAGTTTTGATGGTTCTCCTTTTTAAACTAGGTGGTTTCATCTGTGCCAAAGCCTCCAGAGGACAAGCTGAAAGATGGGCATACAAGTCATCCATTAAAACAAAGAAGAAGAATATAAGATCGCCGGCAGCAAGTTAATATTTTCTAAGGAACCATTTTTTATTTATGGCCTGTCATTTTAATTCCCGAAGATATTTTACTGCTGGTATTTTTTAAATGCACTCCTTTTTGTAATTTTATTCAAGCTACTTGTCTAATGTAGTTTCCTCTCTTAAAATTAGTTTATCATGGACAAAATACATACCAGCCAACTGATTCCTTTAAAGAAACTTTTCCAGAAATGCCACCCAATGCGTTTGCTTACATCTTACTGGTTAGAACTAGGTCCTTGGCTGTTCCTAACTGAGAATGGCTGAGTCACAAGGTTGTTGGATAACTTAATAAATAAAATTAGTTTATCATTACCCATTATAGATTTTTTTGGCCTATACTTAATATTACAGAAACTATTCTTGTAACATCACCTCTCACATTGCAGTAAGTATATGTAACTTAATTAAAGCAAGTATAGAAACTTTACAATAAAAACAAAGATAGGCAACCAGGATCTGTTGTTGATTTTAATACAAGTCGAGTGATTCACATTCAAAAACTAGAAGTCAGGATGTGTGAATGCCAGAGCTTCAAAATCAAGACAAATCTGTGAAGTAAAAAAGTTAAACTATTAAAACAAAGCTGAAATTAGAAGCTTACATGCTTTAGTTAACTTTTAAGAAGAATTTACTGAATTTCTGATCTATGTCAGAAACATCAGTATTTGTAAGTACTACTACTTTTAGCACAGCCACTTTTTTTTTCTGTCAGTGCACATGATTGAAAATTAAGTATGGCCAGGCTATTTCCATATTTTTACTGATAAATAACTTGAGAAGGTGTCTGTTTTTGTGATTTCCCCGTAAGGGCCTCTGGCCTAATGGATTGAATTTGAACATATCAGTTAAGAAGGTTCATCTTCAATTATGACTTACTGATCTAAACTTGTTAGCATAGTAGTAGTGGTGGATAGGATTAAAAGAAGCTGCAGGCAAGGGGTTACATCCTAGTGGCTTGTCAGGTAATATGTATTTTTGCTGAACTCTCAGGTAAAAGAGATTAAAGACCTAAGCATAGGATTGGAAAAAGAAGTTGCTGTCTAGATTAGGCGTCTCAGACTTTAAGGTACTATGAACCTACGCCTCAGGGTCTTAAAATTCTGTTGGTGGTGGCCAGGGGCTGGTAGCTGGTGGGAATGGGGAGTAGATTAATAGGTATAGAGTTTCAGTTTTGTAAGCTGAAAAGTTCTAGAGAGTAGGTGCACACACTGTGAATGTGCTTAACACTACTGAAGCGAATACTTAAAATTGGTTAGAATGGTAAGTTTTACATTAGGTGTATTTTTCCACAATTAAATTCTCTGACAGCCTTAAAGGGAAGAGCTACTAAGTGGGTTCTGTGTTCTTGAAGGGATTCCTGATCTGTGCTGTGACTGTGTGGAGGTCAGCACTCCCCATCTCCACCAACGTACCTATTTGACCATTGATGAGAGAGAGAGAAACTTTTATTGTGTCAGACATCAAAAAAAAAAGATTCTGATTCAGTTGGTTTGGGGTGAGACCAAGATTCTGCAGTTCTTAAGTTCCTAGGTGGTACGATTGCTGGTGCACAGACTACACTGAGTAGCAGGACTCTAGGTAACCGGGCCACAGATGAACTCTGGGAGTGGCTGGAACTGTTGGTGCTCCATCTGAACCCAACTGGTAACTCGAGTCCAGTCCATTCTACAGTGTTTCACCCATCGGTCTCTCCAAACAAGAAGTCTGCCTTTCACACACTGCTTTTTGCCACACACTTAACAGTTAAAAGTGTGGGAATGTACAGTGGCACAAGTTAAGAGAGACAAGCTGATGTTAAAGAGAGATGGCTAAGGATAGCTTAACATTATGTAAGCCCGTTCACCAAATCATCTAAATAACTACAGAGAAGAAAAAATTTCAAAAAAAAAAAAAGTTTATATATCATGTTTGCAAAGCACCGTTAAAGGAATTAAAGGAAATATTAGTCAAATCAATTATTAGGCTGCCTCTTCTAGCTCAGAAAACTTGTCAAAATCATACATGAATAACCTTTATGACCACAAAGTATTATTAGATATGTGTCCAAAAATTTTAAAACTTTATTCTCATTGACAATATTTGGGTTGAAAGAGATCAAGTTTTCTCCCAGCAATTTATGGCTGGTACTTGCTGAATCTACTCTTTATTCACCATTCTATCCATTAAGCCAGCCAAATATACCCTGGTTTTCTTTGGGAGGATATTGTTAACATACAAGAAATCAGGAATTGTGTATAGCTGAAGTAACAAACAAATGTGTGTTGAATATAATTAAATAGTCACTACTGTCTTGGGTGCCAACACACCATAAAGGGCTCAGCCAGGATGGGGCTGTTGGCACTGTACCTTTGCTTCTGGTAAACATTGTCCAAACACCTCCAACAAAAGTCTGTCTTCTTTCACTGCTTTTTCAAAGTCTGCGAAAGATATCTTGCCATCGTTGTCATAATCCTAGGAGGAAGGTTGATTTCTTGATAAATGAGTTTTTAATATCACATGAAAAATGCCTAGAATAAAAGGTTTTACCAAGTAAAACAGTTCACACTTCTGTAGGTACTACTTATATAAATGAAAATGTATGTAAGGAGGCCACTTACTTTATTCCTGTTAGTCGAATAGGCATACCTGGTATTATGAACTGGATGTATTCCCCTAGGTCCAAATTTATATATGAAAGTTCTAATCCCCGGTGTGACAATTTTAGAGATGGGGCCTTTGGGAGATAATTAGGTTTAGATGAAGTCATGTGAGTGGGGCCATCATGATATATTACTGTCCTTGTAAGTAGAGAAAGAGAGTACAGCTCTCTTTCTCTGAGATGTGAGGACATGTTGAGGAGGTGGCTGTCTGCAAGCCAGGAAGAGAGCCCTCACTAGGGTAGCGAATCAGCTGGCACCTTGATCCTGGACTTCCTGGTCTCCAGAACCATGAAAAATAAATTTCTGTTGTTTAAGTCACTCGGTCTATGGTAATTTGTTATAGCAGCCCAAGCAGACTAAGATGAGTTGCTCTATATAAAATGGAGCCTTGTTCCTAAAGGACTTATACACTAGGCAAATAAGACAAAAATGTTAGAGGAAATCCTATTACATTGCTACTTTTGTGATAAGTGCCATAGGGCAAAGGTTCTCAAGCTTAATTTTTAGTAGAATTCGTTCCTCAAAGGATGTCTTACTTCAAAAGATAAAAGCGAATCTGCTCAGTTAAGGAGCAAGGCACTGGGAGTGAGAGCATTAACAGTTCAAGATGGACTAGAGTCATGAGAAGTAGCTTTGTAGGCCACTGCTAGGCCTTTAAGGATGGTAAGGGTCTAGCTAGGTGAAGAGTTATGGGGATGAAATGCAGAATAATGGCCCGACCTGAATTATGGCAGTAAGCAGGAGTGTAAGTCTGGAAGAAGACAGACCTGCCTGGAGTGAAGCATTTGTGACAAGAACTATGGATGATTAAGTAAATCATGGGGTGGGGAGCATGTGTATAGATTATAAATGCTTAATTGAATTTGGATATAATTTGATGAGTCCTTGTTTTTTCACTTTTGGGCATAACTAAATCAGGGTTGCTGAAAGTCTAGAGAAAGTTTGAATAATTGTCAGAAAAAGTTCATAACATTTCCTTTCGAATAAGAAAGGGGTGGGTTTGGCACTGAAAAACATACTTGTCTCTCAAGAAGTCTATCCTCAGCCCTAGCAGGGGTGAACGAGAATACTTCTAATGGAAGAGGACACTCTGGGGTCTGTGTTAGCTGAATTTGAGACTCGCAGTCCTCATCATTTGTTTCTTTCTTAAACTACAGAGTAATGTAGGTGAGCTAGACCCAGGCTGCCTTAGGGTCACAATCCTTCACTGGTATCCAGTTCAGGGTCATAGTAAGAGGAGAGAAATCACTATGTCCATAATAGAGAGGTATTATTGGTTTCACTGACAAATGAATTCTGCATCCCATTTTCTAGTGTGGTCACGAGTAAACATTTCTGTACTTCAGCTTTCTCATCTGCAAAATAGAGATAATAATTTCTACTCCATAGGGTTGTTGTGAGGATAAAATGAGTTTATATATTAAAGTTCTGTGAAGGGTCTGGCATATAGTAAGCACCCTATATGGAACAACTATTTTTATTATGTTATGAATTATGTTACATGAATTGGAGGGTTAAGGTCATGAAGACAGACTGGAATAGCATCCAATTTTACACGAATTGTATCTATCGCCTCCCCCGAATTAATAAGGTTTTACTGATACAAAAATATTTTTAAATAAACATTCATTTTTATATAGTAATTCATTTAATCACCCAGCTATTCCATAAATATTTACTAATCATGTACTATCAGCAGGCACAATGTGAGACAATGGATAGAGCAGAGAATAAACTCCTGTGCTCATAAAGGTCACATTCATTATGGAGGGAAGTAAATCATTTCTTCATCTTAAACTTTATCCAACATCCATTTGATTGGATATAATTATGTTTTTTCATTCTTACCATTTTCTTCAGTGTTAAATCTACCAACTCTTTTATTCCTTCATCAGTCTCTTCAGATGACTGTTGGTATAGACTGTTCTTCAACATGTCAAATATTTCCTCTCGAGAAATATAACCATCGCCGTTCAAATAATAAACTTCAAAACAGACTTTTTGAAGTATAAAAAGTTTAAAGATTTGGATAAGAACAGTTAAAATGTCATTAGTCTTCTTAGTTATTTCAATATATAATAATAGAAAAAAACAATTTATACAACCTATAATTGTTGATCTATATAGTAGAGAGAACTTAAAATAAAACACCCTTTATTACATTTCTTTCCAGAAGATTAAACACCCCTTGGAATGTGAAAAGAAAGACATAATTTCTGGAATTTAAAATTGAGGGTTTAAAAATATTATGAAGTCGCAATAAAGAAGATAAATATTTTTAAACTTTTGATTATACAATACATATATACACAAACATGTATATATGTATGTGTGTGTATATCTCAGTATTATGATTCTCTTCCTACGTAGAGTACAAAAACTAAGTACATACTTCACTATATCACTGACAAATAACATTTTTTAGTCTATTTGGGTAGTGAGTCTGTCATTTCCTTGAGACCTGCCTGTATACGCTATCCAAAATAATCAATCTCTCCCTGGAGTGTCTTCCATCTCACAGGGTAAGCACTACCACAGTTCATTCATTCATCCCACAAATGACTTACTCAGGTCCTGGGAATATAGCAGTGAAAGAGCTCTTGTGGATTTTGTAATCCAGCTAAATGTTAGCAAAAGCAATAGGACTATGTATAAAACTCCAGAGTATCAGATTAGCTATATCTTTTTGTTGAGTTTCTCCGATCTGTAGCATACATATGAGTTTGCAACACAACCCTACTTGAAGTAGTATTTTCCCCAAATTAATGTATCTTGAAAAGTATATTAAATATTTTTAGGAAGTGAGATTAGAGGAAAAATTTTTCAAGTGTGATGCTATACAATCACATATAGCTACTATCAATGCCAACCATTTTTACCAGGTATTAGTATTACCACAAGAATTTACATCCAAGAAACGTAGTTTTTCACTTTTCAGTGAGACTTTTGTGTAAGAACACCACAAAAAGCTTAAGTGGCAACTATATTTAAATGTCATGTGTGAAAAATTAGACTGGAAAAGAGACATTAAGAAACAAACCACAAAAACAAAGGAACAAAAAAGTGTAAATGTCAGAGAAAGTTGGTGATTTTTTAAAATGTTGCTATTATTTTTTAAAATGTGTGTTTAATTTAGGAAACTTCTTTTCTCAAATCCAAATACAAGAGGGAGAACAAGAAGGAATAAAAATTTGCTTACTTACTCAGAACTCTGCAATCTTCTCTTAAGCAAATTTGAAGCAATTTGTTTCCTTGAAAACTGATATTTAAAATTGCTCCTATTCTCTTTCCAGGATTCCTCACCCCAAATCCTGGCACCAGAGGTGTAAAGCACAGGAAATGTACATCACGCCAATGGTAGAAGTGAGGCGAGGCCAGAGTTATTTCCAGGCAAATTGTGAACTGGGAATTTTTTTTTTTTTTTGAATTCTGAACATCTCTATTCTGTAGGAAGCCCCCTTTATGATCCTCCTCCCTTTGGGCTTTCATTGCCCTCAGCCTTTTCACTTTTCACTCATCTACACTAACTCTAACACTAGAGCACTGGTGTCTAGTAGTTAATGCATGTTTTACCTCATTTGGTGTCAATTGCTCACATTTTCTTCGATGAAAAGACAAGATATGGCCCTAATGTGACCTATGCATTGTCCCCATATCAAGGATCCTTTCCTACTGAGACCAGAGGCAGCCTCAGAATCTCAGCCTTATCAGCTGATCGGAGTTGGCATAAGCCCTAACCCTTAGTTTCTACTCTTAGCCTGGGCCTTAAGTCCAAGTCTCATCTTGGTGGCATTTGTGCATTACAGAACCAGAGAATGAAGAATGAAGTGTTTGGGGATCCTGGGACCAGGGGCTCTTCTGTGAAATAGGACACCCCTTTCATCCATTTATCTTTTTACTCTGTCATGAAGCATTTTTGCAAGGTTGCTATAGAGAACACTAATTTTATGTATTTTTAAAATATTTAAATATTTACTAAATACAAAATTGACAATATATATTACTAAGCCAGTAATTACATATAGAAATCTTACACTTCAGCTTTTCTTCAAAAGTCCCTCGAAGAAACACTGATAATCCTTTAACCCACTCTTTTACATTTATACAATTATCATTATCTTCATCAAATGCAAAAAATACTGAAAAAAAGAACATTAAGTGTATTATAATTTGCAGGTATTTTATAATTCAAGAGTATGTATGTATGAATAGATTTTTTAAATTTTCCTCTCAAATTGAGAGGAAAAAAAGGATTTTGGCACAATATTTCTCAAAAGGGTCAGAATTGCTGGAAACATGTTTCCTCTAAATTTTTACAGAAAGAAAATGGTCATTCTCCATGATGAATGATAAGCTTCATTTGTGACATTTTGTACAGTTACTATGAGCCAAGAAGTTCAACAGTGGAGCCAATCAATGTGATAATTTTTATTCTAAAAAGAATGGCTAAATTCTGATCTAAAGAGTTTGTACAATACCTAAATTACTAAATATATTTTTTAAAATTACCAATGAAATTTTAGTGTTATCCTATTATTGACTTTTTTGGGGGTGATGAATATATTATTTTGATTATAGCTCTGGTTTCAAGGGTGTACATATATATATCAAAACTTACAAAATTGAACCCTAAAAATATGTTAGTGAAAAATGACTGGATCAGGTTAAATAACTTCCTATTTTTAAAAAAAATTATCTTTTAGTTGATTTTTTTCAGTATAAAGAGTAATTATCACTTTTGGTACTGATACATTCTTCAATTTTGAGGAAAAAGAAGTCATTTAGTAATAATTTACATGTCCATAGCATATGAATCTGAAGACATCATGATTAAAAACCAATGCTTATCTTTAAAAAAAAAAAAAATACTGAGCGGGGAGGTAGATTGGGTAAAGAGGGTCAAATATGTGGTGACAGAAAGAAATCTAACTATGGGAACATACTGTAAATATATATGTGCCTCACTGCTAAAGTGTACAGCTAAAACTTATTGGATTTCATTAACCAATGTCACCATAAAAAAATTAATTAATGAATTTAAAAAATACTGCTTATTTAGTTCACTATTGGTTATCTCTCAAAGTGGTATCAGTTATAAAATAAAAAAAAAAATCCTGAGCAAGTTTATATTAAAAACTATCCTCACAATCAAATCAACTACTGTTTTATATTGGCAGTGCTACCGGAATTATGTCTTAGTTTGGCATTAAAAACTTTAAAGTCTTGAAAATCACATGATATCACTTATATGTGGGCTATAAACCTGAAAGCAACAAAGGAACAGGACAAACAAACAGAGACTCATGAACATGGACTATAGACTAGTGGTTACCAGAGGGTGGGAGAGAAGAGGGGAGGTAGACGGGGTAAAGAGGGTCAAATATATGGGGGTGGGAGAGGTCAAAGTGGGTATAGGGGATCAAATATATGGTAGCTGAAGGAAACTGGACTTTGGGTGGTAAACACACACTAGAATATACAGATGTCAAATTATGATGTGCACCTGAAAATTATATAATTGTATTAACCAATGTTACCCCGATAAACTTAATTTAAAAAAATAAAAATAAAAAAATTTAAAGTCTTTAATAAAAACTGTATAATATTTGCCATATATTAATATAAAAAATGTCATGTTTATATATCTGCCATCTCGGCTTGGCCCATTTCAGGCTCTTATGACCTCTTACCCCTATTCATTAGCATATCATCAGTCATTCCAAATAAGTTGTGCAGGATCGCTCGAAATGTGTTACGATCTAGTCCAGCGTTATCAAGTCTTACATCAGCTCTTTCCAGCAAGCTGTGAAAAAGTCTTATGAGACACTCCACTTCAACTTTTTTGACTGTGAAATGAAAACATAAATAAATAGAACTTAGTTTTAATCATTGAGTTCTCCAATCTAATTAAAAGTTTTTTTTTTTTCCTATGATGCTAGATGCCCTAGTGAGTTTTTAAGAGTATGACATGAACTTGTTACTTAAGAATTTATACAATTAAGATGGGTCTCACTCGGAAGTCTCATAAGACAGTATATAAACAATAAATTATGTAATATAACATTCACCACTATAGACATATGAAGAGAAATCAGTATGGGAAAGTATTTTCATGGAGGTAGACTTTGAACTAGGTCTTGAAGGCTGCATAGTATTTATATGGGAAGGAATGTGTTGGGGGTGGTAAAGATGAGAATTCCAGGGAGAGAGAACAGCATGAATTAAAGCAAAGTGGTAGAATGGAGGTTGAGGCTGAACATGCCTTATTGGGAGCCAGCAGTGGAAAGAAGTGAAAAATAAGATTGAAGAAGATGGGCTGATGGTAGAGGGCCTTGGATGCCTGGTCAGAGGATCAACATTTATTTAACTGGAACAGTGTTTCTCATGGTGTCATCTTTGCGCCAACTATATGAGAATCAACTCCCTCTACATTGCTTGTTAAATATGCAAATTGTCAGGCCTTGCCGCAAACCTACTAAGTCAGAATTGCAAACAGTGGATCCAGGAATTAGCTTCTAGACAAGAGCTTGGTTGACTCTTCCGTGCCTTAATGGTTGAGAAGTGGTTTAGGAAAAGTCATCTGACACAGTCATATTGAAGGGGAAAACTGGAAGCACAGAAGCCAGGCTTAGAGTGATGGGGCTAGGAAGGTGGATATGAGGTCTGGGAGTGGGGAGGGAGCCGGAGATACTGCAAAATAATAATCAGTAGCACTTGGTGACTGATTTTCAAACTTAAACTTTTTAATACTCACATACCTGGATCTCACTCTAGACTTAGTAAACTAATGGTAGTTGTAAGAAGTGCACAGGTGATTCTAATGCATCATCATGACTGAGAACTAAGGATTAGACTTGGCGAGTTGGGGGTCCTAGACTTAAGCATTTGGGTTCTACTTCCATTTCTGAGAGACTAAATAGCTGAGAGACAGACAAGTCAAATAGCATCTTTATGCTTCAGAATCCTCACCTATAAAAATTGGGTATTGTCCTAGATATCTCTGAGATTCCCTAAATGACTAAAAGTCTGATTCTACGAATCAAAGATTGAGAGAACTAAAAGAGGAGGGAAAGCTGGTTACGATTTTTCTTCTTCTCTTCCTTCTCCTCTGTGTGTGTGTGTGTGTGCGTGCGCGCGCGTGCATGTGTGTGTGAGTAGGGGGAGAAAGTTATTTTAGGTCCTGTCTTTGAGATGATTTCAGGTGACTCAACTGAAATTAATGACAACACATGGCAAATATATAGTTCATAACAATATGGTTTCCATTGTGGTCAGAATGACTTGATTCTTAGGGCAATGATTGACAACTCTAAAGAATTGTCTGTTTTATGAAATGAATTAAGATTCTCAGGCTTCACACTAATATAAATCCTGAAATATGACGTAAAGGTCTTTTTTATCTATCCAGTAAGCATTTAAGTGCCTCCCATGAACTAGGCAATGAATACACCGTGTTTCCTGCTCTCAAGATTGCTACACTTTGGTCAAGAGATAAAGTATGTGCAATAAAGTATTAACAAACACTATGATTGATGATGGTTGGCAGTGACACAAAGGAAGGAATAACCAATTAGGGACAGGTGGTAAGAGATTAAGAAGGGTACCAAGGAAGAGGTGTCACTTAAGACCAGCCAAAGGAGTAGGCGTTAGCCAGAGAAGGCAGCTTGAAGGCATGGAAGCATGTTCTGAGAGCTGTAGATGGTTTAGTCTGGCTAGGTGACAGAATTGTTTGACTCTACAGACAATGGGGAGCTTGCTGAAAAATTTTGGCAAGTTAAAAGGACTGGATTTGCATTTAAGGAAGATCTCTTTGGCAATAGATCCTTGAAAGTACCTTATAAATTCTTACATCTGGTAAATCCAGATGTAACAGGTTATATTTTCCCAAAGACCATTTAAACAATCTACCCCACTCCATATGCTCTTTTACAGCATAACTTTGACACTCCTGCCTTAAAAAATGAGATCTATGTCTCTTTCACTTGAAACTAGGGAGATTTTTGTGTTGGTTTCATTTCAATCATATAGTAGAATTGAGGTGATGTGACTTTTTTTTTAATAGAATACAAATAAGTTTATTGTACAAATTTAAAACCCGCACAAAAATTTCTTTCATTTCCCCCCACTCCTATTAAAATGTCCTGACCAAATGGTATCAAAACACTATAAATAACACTAAATCCTTTAAAGACAAATATTCTTGGCAGCTCCAGCCTATCCATTATTTTCAGATTCAACAAACGCAATGGCATGCCTCACAAGTACCAAATGTACTTCTTTGAAACCAGGAACTGATTAAACAACATGGATGACATCATCTCATTAATCTCTTCTGGTATTTACCAGAGGATAATCAGGATAATCAGGGACCTGAGGATTTGGTGTTTCATTCCCTTGAGTATTAGCTGAATTTGGTGTTCCTTGGCCAGGCATTTTATTTGTGGTCATTATTGTCTGTTCCAGTTTTAGCTTTTTTGTCAGCGAAAGTGCCACACATTTTAGATATTATATCAGAATCTGTTTTTGCATACTGGATTCACACCGTTTTACCATAAAATGGAAACCCTTGTAACTGTCTCAAGGCATTTGTGGATGAGCCCAGTTCTTTAAATATAATAAAGGCTTGCCTCCTCATCTTCGTGGTCTTGAAAGCCACAATTCCTACCATGTGGCCAAAGGGAGAAAATAGAACATATAGGGGACCTCTTCAATTTTTTTTGTCATTCATGTTGTTGATATATACTGTATAATTTGGTCTGATACCCATGTTTTGAGTTAAACTGAGGTGATGAGGTGATATAACTTTCAAGCTTAAGTCATAGAAAAGGATACAGCTTCTCTGAGATAAAAACTTAGAAATACATTTCTTTTTTGGAATATGAAGAAAAAGGAAGCTCAGATGTGGACACAGTGTATGGGGTGTACAGTATACTAATATTTCTTGAAAGTAGACCTGCTCAACTCTGATGGAGAATTATTACTTGAGTGAAAATGTTAGCACTAATCATAGTGTGAAAACAGATCCCTGAAAAGAGCAAGGTTTGAAGAATCAGAAGCTGCTCCAAGTCAAATATTGACAGGTCATCCAACAAAGCAATCAAAGATTTTAGGCACAATTTTTAGCAGGTAAATTTTTCTGAGTTTATTCATGTGGCTCAATTTCATTATATCTAATGATGATATAATGTTCTTACACACGTGGTCAAAGAACTACTGCGAATATTTGAGAAATGCGAGTAGTGAGAATGACGTTGAGATGCCAGAGGTTGACTCATGTTATCAAACTTTTTAGTTTGGAATAACTTTAGATTTACAAAAGAGATGCATGCAATGATAGCAGAATTCCCATAAACTCTTCAGTGTTAACATCTTGTGTAACCGTGCTACATTTGTCAAAACTAATACACTAACACTGGCACATTGTCATCCACTAAATTACAGATTTTACCGGTTTTTCCACTTCTTTTTTCGGTGGTTGTTCTAGGATCCATTTGGTTGCCACATCTCTAATCTATGAATAAGTTTTCAGTCTTTCCTTGCTTTTCATGACCTTGACAGTTATTTTGCAGAATGTTCCTTAATTTAGCTTTGTATGTTTTTATTGTGACTTGACTATGGTTACGTGTTTTGGGGGAGAATGCCAGAGATAAAGTGCTATTTTTGTCATCACACATCAGAGTACACATCTTAACATATCACGGCTAATAACCTCTACTTGGTTAAGCTGGTGTACAGGTTTCTCCGCTGTAGTTACTATTTTCCTTTTCCACAATCTATTCTTTAGAAACTGGTCTCTTAAGGAAAAGAGACGCTCCACTTCTTGGGAAGGGTTATCTATCCTATTATTTGGAATTTTCTCTGTAAGAAAGATTTTTTCTTTTCCATTTATTTATTCAATTATTTATGTCCAAATGGAGTCACAGATATTTAGTTTATACCAATACTGTAACTCTGTTCTCAAATTGTTCCAGTGTTGGCCACTGGTAGTTCTCAAGTTGGTTCCTGTATCTCTCTCACGTATCCCCATCCTTTTGCTTTCTCAGCACTTCCTTGCTTTCTGGCACTACTTGCCAGGCTCGTCTTGTATTATCCTTGTGAGATAACAGAAAAAATATGTATTGGTATCTGCCCCCTGTTCCTAGTACAGAGCTCCTAAAATCCTTGCAATTTCCTAAGTGATGTAAGCACTAGCAGATTCTCTTTTCTCTCTGGTCTTTGACCCAAGTTCTGGACATTGAGCTCCTAAATTCTCAAATTTCCTGGGTGACAGTCATGTCTTTTGTTCTGAGGTGGCTGTTGGTAGCTCCTGGATGAGGCCTGATCACCTGAAAGACCAAGCCCTGATTAAAAACCCAGAACTTTCAGCCCCACCCACCATTCTTGAGAGGGGCTAGAAATTGAGTTAACAATCTATTATGCCTATATGATGAAATCTCCATAGAAACCCCAAAGTAAGAATTTGGGGAAAGTTGGTCACAGGGATGGGGAGCACGACATAGGGAATGTAGTCAGTAGTACTGTAATGGCTATGTGTAGAGCCAGATGCGTGATAGAGGAATTGGGATCATTTCATAGACTATATAAATGTCTTCTGTACTGTGTACCTAAAACTAAAAAAAATTATAAATTCATAGGGAAAAAAAGTTTGGTGAGCTTCTGGGTTGGCGACCATAAAGATGCTGGGAACATGACAGAGAACATGGACACTCGCATCTCTCCCCACATACCTCGCCCTATGCATCTCTTCCATTTGGCTGTTCCTAATCATATCCTTTTGTAATCAATTGGTCATCTATTAAGTAAACTGTTTCCTTGAGTTCTGTTAGCCACTGTAGTGAATTAATTGAACCCAAGGAAGTGGTCCTGGAAACCTCAGATTTATAGCCAGTTGGTCAGAACCTGTGGCACAGGTAACCACCCAGACTTGTGATTGGCCTCTGAAGTGGGTGGCAATCCTGTAGCACTTAATGCTTAACCTGTGTTCTCATTCTATCTCCAGGTAGTGTCAGAATTGAGTAAAATTGTAGGACACTCAGCTGGTGTCAGGGAATTGTTTACTGAGGAAAACCTCCATACAAATGGTGAAAATGCCAGAAGTGTGAGTGTGGTAGTAGTGTCAGAGTAAAATAAACACAGCAGTGCAAGTTTTTCCTTTACACTCTGTACAGCTACTTCATCAATTTTTTTTTTTTTTTAATTAGAGTACCACTTTGAAACCACGGTCTAGGTACTGGATGTGACTTTTGCTGCTGGTGTTGATGTTTCTAGGCCCTCTCAGCTGGGGAATAAGTATATATACGAACCTATGTATGCCTACATATTGGCACATTACGTCTCACAAAGAAAGTAAAACCGAATATTAGACTAGGCCCTTAGGTGGTCCTGGGCTAAGTGCCAGAAGAGATGATCAATTGTATTAAAAACTCATGAACACTTAGGGAACAGGGGCTCATGAATTCACAAGGGCAAATCATACTGGATTTAACTTATTTCCTCCTCTGGCAGGAATGGATTAGAGAAATGCTGTCCACATGTATTTCAACTTTAACACATCTGATAAAAATCTTATTCTTATGTTAGTATCCACTCAGTATCAAGTACTGCCCAGAGCACAATAGTAGGCTCTCTAATGTCTGCTAAATAATCATCAACCACTTGCAAATTGGAGAGGTTAAGGAATATGCTGGATGAGTCAGGTTTCAAATTAACATCCAGATGCCAAAATGATCGTTTTAATCGAACAAATGAAAAATTTAGGACGTTTTTATATTCTTCACTTAGCTTTAAAAAAGTTAATAGGTGTGAAAAAGGCTGAGTCAATTCTCAATTGAGGTTAGGCTGACAGATTGAAGTTCACCTGGAAAAGACAATTTTGGCCAGGAATCCTCAAACTTTAGTGTTTAAGAATACATGGAGTGAACAGTCTGGATGCTCAGCCCTACTTTGAGATTCTGATGGAGATACTCCTACCACACGATGAGTAAGTACAAAGCCAGGATCAACTATAGAATTTGTGGGCCCAAATGCAGAAAAATGTAGTTCACCTGTTCAAAAAATTAAAATCAGTGTTAGCAGAGCATTAAACGAAGCATGTGGCCCTATGAGAACATTAGGTTACAAACCCATGAAACCATTTATTACACCCTGAAGTAATTTGTCGACCTTCCTTACTCCATTAAAGGGCTATTGTTTGGATAGGGAATAAGATTTGTGTGACTCATAAACAGGGCAGCCCTGTTTAACAGAACTTCCTGATGATGGAAACGTTATGTATCTGTGCTAACCAATTTGGTAGCTACCACCTTACATGCAGTTACTGAGCCCAAGGAAGGGGTCCTGGAAACCTGATTTATATCCAGTTGGTCAGAACCTGAGTAGCTCATGTGATTAAAATTGGGTTTTAAATTCTACTTAATTCACATTCAAATCGCCATATGTAGCTATTGGTTACCATATTAGACAATGAAGCTCTAGAGAGCAGTATGAAGATCTATACGTGGAAGTTATACTAGCCTTAGAATATAAGGCATTCTAGAACTGGGGAAAAATGGAAACAGCTGCTTGGTAATGTAATGAATTTTCTTTCGTGAGGTCACTGGAGGAAGCCAGCTGAAGACCTAACTCATGCAGTGATGGCAGTTTGGACTGGAAGAATCCATATGGCACATGAGGGCTTAGCAAATTATGAGGGCTCCCTCCTAAACTCTAAAGCAAAGCCCAGGAAAAAACAATCCCAACTTTCAGCCACATGGGACAATTAGAACTTTGTACACCAAGAGAGTAAGACAGTCCCTTCCTGAGAAGAGAAAGCCAAGGTACCATTAGCTGTTAAGCCATCCCACTCAAACTATTAAGAACCAAATTCTAGTCATGAAAGGACCAGTATCTATTCTGGTCTCAAATGGAAGGACCCAAGAACTAAGCTGGATCCAAAAAATTTTCTTTGTGCACTAACTAGGAGACAACACTATATAGAATGACTATAAGGGTCTACAATGCTTATTAGTAGAAATAATTCGAGAAATAAAGATTATTTGAGTTTGGGTTCTGGCAACGGACTATCTGTTCTAGCTCTGCCTCTACCAGAAAAGTCTACTGTGTAATTTTCAACAAACAACTTAATCTAAGACTTGGTTTCCTCATCTGAAAATGTGGAAATATCACCTACATCACTGGGTTTGTTCTTAAAGATGATGAACATAAAACATTTAGCAGTGTCTTGCCAATGAACAGCTCGATAAAGATCAGCTGTTAGTAATCTGAGTGTAAAACAGTAATCTGGTTTACTGGTGAATAACTATGTTTAGGCATTCAGGGCCTGAATTATGGATGATAATTTAAGTGTCAAAAGCTTTGGGGAGAAAAAGAAATGTTTCGTTCCTTTTTTCAAACAAGTATCTCTTTTATAGAAACCTATAAGGGATATGGGTCTGATCGAGTATTACATATTCATACCTACAGGCTATTTCAGAGAATTGTTTTCAAATAACAAATTATAGTATTAAACACTCATATGGGAGCAGACATTGCTAAGAATAATTTCATTAGGATGGGGAGAGGAGTTATATTTTTTTAAAGTATGCAAAATTTCCTTTTGAATGTTATAGAACGCTGGCTGTTAAGAAAGCAGCAAATGACAGTGGAATTGGAAAACAGACTTTAGAAGTGCTTGAGGAGCTTAGATCATTTAAAATCCAACTGGAATAAGAGAAAACAGAATCAAACCTACAATGAGGTTCTTAGACAAGGTGGTGCCTATTCCAATGAGGGAGGTCACTCAAGGAAAAATGGAAGTGCCCAACAATGAGGCCATAAAAATGACTGAAATAAAAGTAACTCCTTTAAATTCTAAAAACAAATTCACAGAATTATCAGTC